AGGTGGACAAGGACAGACTTCTCACCAGGGTCAGACAGGTGGACAAGGACAGACTTCTCACTGGGGTCAGACAGGTAGTCAAGGACAGACTTCTTACCAGGGTCAGAAAGGTGGAAAAGGACAGACTTCTTACCAGGGTCAGAAAGGTGGACAAGGACAGACTTCTCACCAGGGCCAGACAGGTGGACAAGGACAGACTTCTCACTGGGGTCAGAAAGGTGGACAAGGACAGACTTCTCACTGGGGTCAAAAAGGTGGTCAAGGACAGAGTTCTCACTGGGGTCAGAAAGATGGTCAAGGCCAGAGTTCTCACCAGGGTCAACCAGACAGTGAAGACCAGAATTCACAGTGGCATCGGACAGACAGAGAAGACCACAGTTTTCATTTTGATCAGACAGGCAGTCAAGGCCAGAGTTCTTACCAGGGTCAATCAGACAACGAAGACCAGAGTTCAAGCTGGCATCGGACCGACAGACAAGGCCAGAGTTTTCATTATGATCAGACAGGCAGACAAGGCCAGAGTTCTCACCAGGGTCAATCAGACAACGAAGACCAGAGTTCAAGCTGGCATCGGACCGACAGACAAGGCCAGAGTTTTCATTACGATCAGACAGGCAGACAAAGCCAGAGTCCTCACTGTGGTCAGTTAGAGATTGGGAAAACTGAACTTCAAGGGCAAAACAGGTACTTCCAAGGAACTGATGAAACAAGGAGAGATTCATATGTTGAGCAATCTGGAAGGTCAGGAAAACTAAGTCAACAGACTTCAAGAGAGGAAGTGAATCAAACCCAGAGACAGAGATTCCAGGATAGAAGGGATCAGCAAACTCACCACCAGGCATGGAAACCTGAACAAGATAATCAACACAAACTCTTAGCTCAGATACAGCAAGAAAAGCCATATTCCCATAATGAGTATGACTGGCAATCCCAGAGTAGTGAGGAGGGCCACTGGGTAGAGGAAGAGCATCACCAAAGCTGGGATAGGCACAGTCTTGAGGATCAGGAAAGTCTATATGAGATGCAGAACAGGCAAACCCATGAAGATGAAAAAAGCCATCAGACAAGGGATAGGCAAACCCATGTAGATGAGAAGAAACAGCAAAGACAACACAGGCAAACTCATGAAGAAAGTCAAGATCATCAGCATGGTAGACAAACCCATGAAGATGAGCAAAGCCATCAGAGACAAGACAAACATCAAAATCATCATCAACAGTGGGATGAACAAACTCATGAAGAAAATGAGAGGTTTCAAGGATCCCAAGACCAATCCAGGAGTTTTCCCAACAAAGAAAAATTCCACATGAATGAAGATGACCAGTGCCAAGGATCCCAGGACAGACATTTCCATCCAACCCATGGTGGTGAGAGGTCCCAAAGAAGAGAACAACACAGAAACCACCCTACCAAAACAGCTAATTCCCCCAACCCCCTCTATGATTATGTACGAGAGCAAGCAGCTTATCAATACTAGGCTGCCTGAGCAGCAGAGGTAACATAGCTTGAATCTAATGAAGAAACCTACATGTCAATTCACCTTTGCTTCTGTTTAAAAGGTTCAAGTTGTATGTCATCCTTCTCTTTTTCGTCTATCTATGAGAATGCTTCTGAAGACTAGTCTAGCAACCACTTTTTGAAATTTCAATTCTTTGAGTAGCAATTCTAGGGTTATTTGGTTGGGTGGAGTAAATTAGATGAACTAACCAATCTTTATTTTGATGACTTTGTAGATTTAAATCATTCCTAGTTTGTTTTCAGTTTAGGTGATACTTGGTTGAATCATTGAATTGCAGAAAATTCTCCCTAACGTTTAGTAACAGGAAAAGGAACAATGGAGACTTATACTACATTTGAAGGAAAGGATTTTGGACTTTGAGTGCTGGAGAATGGGAGACAATTCTGAAAACCTTTCCAACAAAGACCACATGTAAAACATTATATTAATTATATTAAAATACTCAATAAATGATTGGTGAGCAATGATGTTGATGGCTTTTTCCTTTCTTCAATATGGAAATATGACCTTCACTTATGGACATTTTCTAAGAATAAATTTTCATTTCTTAGGGTTGGAGAGATAGTCCAGCATCTAAGAGCACTTGCTATTCTTGTAAAGTTTTGGGGTTTGGTTCCTACATCCATGTGTTGGCTCATAACCATCCATAACTCCAGTTAATTGATAGCTTGGGCTACCAGGGATCTTCAAACAGATGAGATATAGTTTCTCTCTATGCGATGGATTATTAGGGGTCTGGTCAGCTCTCATGACCCATCAACAGAGGAATAAGAGCCTAGACATCAGAGATGTCAGTGTCATAGAAGCTCTCTGTGATCTGTAGCTCTCCTAGAAGAAAGGCTTCTCACTGTGCTTCATCAAAGTCTAGAGTATGAAGCTTGTGGTTCCACAGTTTCCCTAGCCCAGTCTATTTCTTTCTTTCTGATCCAGACCCTTCCAGATGCCTCTAGATATTTTCTCTCTCTTATTCACCACCACCACCACCACCACCACCACCACTACCACCCCACCAATGGAGCAGTCACATTTACTGGGCACCCTTGCATACAAAAATAACACCGAGAACAACTATTAAAAAGATGTCAAGCCGGGCGGTGGTGGCGCACGCCTTTAATCCCAGAACTCAGGAGACAGAGCCAGGCGGATCTCTGTGAGTTCGAGGCCAGCCTGGGCTACAGAGTGAGTTCCAGGAAAGGTGTAAAGCTACACAGAGAAACTCTGTCTCGAAAAACAAAAACAAAAACAAAAACAAACAAACAAACAAAAAAGATGTCAGGGCTGGAGACATGGTTCAGAAGCTAAAAGCCCTGGCTGTTCTTGCAGAGGACCCTTTGGTTCCCAGCACCCACCTCAGGTAGCTCATAACTCTTTGTAACTCCAGCTCCACAGGATCTGATACCTTCTTCTGGCTTCATTGGGCACCCACAAACACACATGGCATACATTTACACAGACATACGCATAAATAAAAAAAATATATTTTAAAATATGTTTCTCACAATGCTCACCAGATAAATCAGAATGAATTAAAAACTTTCATACTGAACATGTAAAGACATAGGAAAAGGCTTTTGGCAATAATCTGGACTATGACTCCACCAAGAAGACAAGAAAAAATAACTAAGTGGTACTACAGCAAATACAAAAGCTTCTATGCAGCATAGGAAGCAATCAATGGAATGGAAAGGCAACCAGTAGAACTGGAGAAAGTTTTGCAAAACATATATCCAACAGGGATTAAAATCCAAAACATGTAATGAATTCAGACAACAGAGATAAAAACAATCCATTAAAAAATAGGCAAGACAGTGGAATAGACATTTTTCAAAAGAACACACACCTATGGCCAACAGGTACACAGAAAGGTTCTCAGCATCAGGGACCACCAGGGAAATGAAAATTAAAACCACAGTAAGATGTGGCCTCACACCTGACAGAATGGCTACTCTAAGAAAGACGGGATTATGGAAGAGGTTTGGAAGACTGTGCTCTGTGAGAAGAACTGTAAGGTAGAGCATACAGAGCCTCCATGAAAACAAGTGCAGCTTTTCCTCAAAAATTAGGCATAGACATATGATTCAACAGTCTTAGTAATGGTTATATCTTTTTTAAAGTACAAAATCAGTATTTTGAAGAAATGTCTGTACTCTCATATCTATTGAGCATTGTTCACAATAGCTAGAATATAGATTCAATAGCTAGAACATGGATTCAACCCAAGTGCTCAGCCATGGATGTAGGAAGGGTGAAATATATGTAAGTGTATATGTTTGCCTATGTATATAAAATATGCTATATATAAATATACATTATGTATAAAAATAATACCATTTGGCCACAATTTAAAAAAAAAGAAGGAATTCTGCCATTCATGATAGCATGGATAAAACTTGAGGCTATGAAGTTAAGTCAAGTAAGAGAAATACTAAGACTGTAATAATATCACTGTTCAATAGAGTCTTTAAAAGGTGAACTCATAAGAGCAGAGACTAGGACAGTGTGGCTTCTCAGCACCGAGGGACTAGGAAAGGATCTGCAGTCAGAGGACACAGACTTCCAGCTGTAAAGATGAACAGTAAGTTCTGAGGGCTACTATTAATACTGTGTGGGGACTGTAGTTAACTTTACTATTATATACTAGGAATTTGTAAAGATGGGACATTTTAAATGTTTTTAATAACACAAAAAAAATATACAAGGTCATATACATATTAAGTAACTTTGTAAAGATAATTATTTCATAATACATCACAGTGCATAACTTCGATCTTTGTGATTTTATCTGTTGTACTTCAATATAGCTGGAAAAAATAAAATACATAAATAGCATCAAGAGGAGAAGGGGGGATGAAGGGAGAAATAGTCTGAAACCTTGAAATCCAGTCCTGACACAGTTATTAACAACACAGCAAACCCGGGACCAGTCATGGCCCTAGACTGTACTCCAGTTTTCTCAGCCTTAAAACAGAAGGTTGTTTGTATTTTGGCACGATACAACTTATAATAGTTCCATACTGAAGCATGATGGCTTTGTAACTAAATATCTAATCAATCAACTAACATGGTTATGGTACAATAAATATAGCAGAGGCCTTAAAAAAAAAAAAAAATCTTTGATGCAAGATGGAGAAAAACGTTCTGTGGGGTTCTAGCGCCACCTGTTGGTCACAGGATTCCCAGCGTCCAAACGTGATAGCTAGACAATGACAAGCACAGTTGAGAATGGTGAGCAGGTAAGGCTGTTACAGCCATGTTACAGCCAGTTTCCCTGTGACCGCTGCTTATGTGAAAAGGGTACAGCTGCCGCTTGATTGGTTGGCCCTGGCAACGGTGTCATGTTGGTTTTACATTTGGAAGGGTTTGTTCCGTTGTTAGAGGAGAGTTTGGCTTTGTATCTCTGTCCCAAACCCAATGCTGTTGGGCTTTGCTTGCCCCAGAACAAAGCAAGCACATGTTCTTCTGGTTCATTCAAAAACTTAAGTCACATCAACAGTTATTAAACACTGTTAGTCCCCGACTGTTCAAAGGATGCTGTGGAGGGAAGAGCAGCGTTTACAGCCAAAGAGAAATGGGTTTCAGGTGTAGCCCAACAACTTAACTTTCTGGGTGACTCGAGCCTCGATTTTCTCAAGTTAAAATTATTACCCCCTCTGAGGAGTGGATGGGGATTATATATGGGGTGGGGGAGGGCGGGAGAAGGGGAGGGAGGGGAACTGGGGTTGGTATGTACAATGAAAAAGGAATTTTTTTTGTTGTTGTTGTTGTATTTTTGTTTTTTTGTTTTTTTTTTGGTTTTTTTTTTTTTGGTTTTTCGAGACAGGGTTTCTCTGTATAGCTTTGCGCCTTTCCTGGGACTCACTTGGTAGTCCAGGCTGGCCTTGAACTCACAGAGATCCACCTGGCTCTGCCTCCCGAGTGCTGGGATTAAAGGCGTGCGCCACCACCGCCCGGCTGAAAAAGGAATTTTAAATAAAGAAAAAGAAATAAAATTCTGATAATGTACACTATCTGCTTTGGGTGTCTATAAGGGTTCATGAAATCCCTGCTATGGTGCCTGGCATGACCTAAGCACTAAAGAATTGTTAAGTTACAACTCAGGGCATGTAGCTCAGGGGCTGAGGCAGTGCTTACCCATGAGAGGATGCTTGCTGTTTTCCCTGGGCTTACCAAGGGCTGAGACAGAAGGTAAGGTCGCAAGAAAGAACATGCACAGGGGCTCAAGGATGTTTGTTCCCCAGGGGTAAGGCAAAATAATTGTCCTCTCAGTAAAGAGGACAAGTGTCCTCTGGGCATTGCCAAATCATCAGGAGTTAAAAGGCCGGTGAGCTTTTTCAGTCAGTATTATATTCACCCTTGAAATCTCACACCAAGTTTTATCTTTGTGAAGTCATCCCCTCCCAGTATCTTAGTTGTTCATTTTTCTACCCCACCTTTCTGCTTCTACCATTCTCTACTGTCGACTGTGTGACATCCTAATTCATTCTGTTGGTCAGACCCCCTACACATACGTATATAGACTGAGCGGGTTATATTTAGGAATATGTATGCATATACAGATACATGTATGCATGTAACAATAATTAATGGAAAAGGGGGCCATGGATTTGGAAGAGAACAAAGAGGGCTATATGGAAGGATTTGGAGGGAGGAAAATGAAAAGGGGAATTATATGATTGTGTTATGATCTCAAAAATAAAGAAAGCATTCTTAATTTATAATTTATAAGTGTGCATTCCTCACTGGTTCTTGAGATCTTTATTTCTAGGGTCTAACTGTGCAATGTCTCTAATTACAGATACACATTACACACATAACACATCAGGGCTACAATCCGAGGGTCCCAGGTTCACTCATTTGTTCAACAAACACTGAGGGTAATTTTTCTGGAACTTTTGCTGGGGAGTAGGGATATAGATCCAGGGTATCCACCACCAGAGACTCATATTCTGTGAGGCAAGAAAACAACTATAATTCCCTGTGATTACCACCAAAGAACAAAACATTTATTTACAATTAGTAGTAAAGAGAAATAATGAGTACTAAGTTTTCCTAAGGCTCTGAGCATGAGTCATGCATTGACCCCTTACCCTCAGATCTCCTGAATCCTGGTGAGTTGGAGTTTTTGTTGTCTACATTTTACAGATGACAGAACAGAGGTACAGACACACA